GGTGTCAGAAATAGTGCTACAGCACCATGGGGCACAGTTCTTTCAGAGGTGGTAAGCAGGCATTCCAGGGATTTGCCCAAAGGTGAATTTTAATGAGGTCTGCCTACTTCTTTTCTGGCTGTTGAAGTAAGATGATAACCCGGGCTGTTGCTGCATGGAAATGAGTTCTGTGTGTATGCTAATCAGATCGCGGCCCTGGAGGGTAGCCAGCTGTTGGTTGTTAAAGGATATAAAACGATAGGTCACAGAAATAAAGCAAATCATTTCAAAGCTGATTTCTGGAGGCCTTTTCTAGCAAGGCAGAAGAAACAAGCACAGTGCCTCAGAGGGCAGTGAAGATCTCCAGCTCATCTGGAGGCAGGGGAGGTGAGGGAGTAGGGTTGTCATTCCAGGGCTTCTCCTGGAATTCTTTACCCAAATTTAAGCATGGTCCCCAGACCTTGAGTGGTGTCTCTATTTTTATTTGTAGTATAAATTCATAGTTTATTTTGGTATTTAGTAAAAACCAAATAGTGATAGATTTGGTCTGCTTTAGCTTCCAAGAAATTTCACTTTCCTCTTCTCTTCCAGTCTTTCCAGCACTTTCTTGTCTGTCTCCTTCACCTGCCCCACTTTCTCTGCAACCAGAAGTGACTAGATGTTTCCTGTATGTGGCTTTGACCCAATTTTCTTCTCTTGAAAATCTCTCTTGGCGATCTTATCCACTTCTAAGGCTTCAATAATGGGGAAAAAAATCTTATAAGAATGGGAAGAAAAGGAAAAAATGATGCATTGTCCATCTTATGAGTATTTCATAACCCTTCTTGAGCCATAGACCCCTTTAGCACTCTGATAAAGCATACAGACCCCTTCGTTGAATACTGTCTATAAATTCATATATTAAAATACATAGGATTACAAAGGAAACCAATAATGTTAAAATAAAGTTACCAAACTATTAAAAAGACAAATTTTGATATAGTAATACCTATTTGTAAATCCAAGGAAAGGAAATCCCGGGGCGAAATACCTCTAAATGAACTGAAATCAGTCAAAGGGAGAAATAAAGTTTAAAATACATTTATTGCTTACAAACTGCAGTCTGGGGCCCTCTCTCTTTCCTGCTCCAGCAAAAGCAAAACCGGCCCTCCCCCTCACCTCTCAGGTACAGATAAGCCCTCTCTTGCCCAGGTAATTACTGATACAGAGATGAACTTCTCTCCACCCCTGAGGAATGATGCAAATGCACTAAAGCCATACTTCTTGCCACCTCTGAACACATATTGATATGCAGATGTACTAAAGCCAGGCAAGATATTCTGGAAATATTAGGATTTTACCCACACTATTCCATACTATTTATTCATGAAATAACAAGATCTGATGACTACCATAATTTCTAACTAGTGTGTCAATAACTGTACATTGGTATAAAAATCCTTAATGGTGACAGAGTCACAGATTCTGCTGATAAGCCGATGTTTTTTTATGCCTATGTTCCTTCCTAAAGGGAGTGCTAGTTTTCAGTTGGAGATTTAGAGAAAATAAAGATCAGGCTCATAGATTCCCCCTAAATTCTATCCATAGATCCAGGGTTTAGAACATCCATTCTAAAGATTTCTAGAAGGGATTGGGCATCCTTATTTGTATGGGGTCAGAAGCCACAGGGGGTGAAGAAATGGGTGGTGTAGTATCATTTCCAAGGGTACAATTCCTCTACCTCCCTCATCTCATATGTTCCGTTATACCTGGGCTTCTCACCCTCTTTCTTCCTCAGCATCTTTCATATTGAAGTAAAATCGAAACTCGTCAGTTCTATCTATTAGCAGCTGTGGTACTTCGGTTTTGTTTGTTGGGGGGATTCTTTTTTTGTTTGATTTTTAAATAGATTCATTAGTTGTAGGGGGAGCTGCAACTGCTGAGTATCCAGGGTCATTTCTTCATGTTATATGTAGTTTCTGATAACATAGATAATGAGGCTTAAAATGTGGATAAAATTAAAACATCCAACTTCAGCCTTTGTCTGTTGCCTTCAAAGGTTTTGAAGCAGATTTTGTTAACCCCTCTGCCTTTTTGACTGCCTTGCACCTTGGCTTCAGGAACACTGCCTCTCCTGCACCTCTCTTGTCTCCCTGCCTCTCTGTGGTCCCTTCTGAACCTCCTTTTCATCTGCCTCACACTCTGTCCCCAGACGGATGTACCCATTCCCCCCACATTAGGCTTGGAGCTCGTTTTTCTCTTCACTTTTTCCCTTGGCAGCCTCTCCCAATCCTCTCTCTTCCTTTCCCACGCTCCTCGTCAATTTTGGTGACCCATCTTCCCTGACTTTAATGAAGCTTAGTGAATCTTCTTTGGACACTTAATGTGCTCTGGGTCTTATCTTAGTCACTGAAGCTGTAATACCAGTCCAGTGGAGCAGTTCCCTGCCTTCATACACCATTCGACCCATCAAGGCAAGTCAGCCCTGAACAAGTAATTTCAAGAGAGGTGAGCAGGATGAAAGGGAAGTAACAGGACACTCTAGAGGTTGATAATAAGGGGTATCTAGCCTTGTTCGGGGCATAGGGAAAGCTGTGAGAAGAAGCAATGCTTAAATTAGGACTTGGAAGGTACTTGACAGACAACTCAATGACTAGTGCAGGAACAGGATTGGGAGGATGGACACGAAATGTCTAGAGAGGAGAAAAGGGGAGGAGAAAAGGATATCTAGTATGGCTTTGGTGTAAAATGCAAAGAGGGCACTTGAGTCTAGTGAGGCTGTGAGAGGCAGAGCCAAACTGGTAAACACTTGTCACCCATGTTGGTGGTAGGAGGGGGCACCATCCTAAGGACAGTGGGGAAGCTCAGAGGAAGTTAGCCAGGCAGCGGAGTGTTTAGATTTATATTTTTAAATGATTAGTCCAACTGTAGTATGGAAAATGGTTTGAAGGGACAAGAATGCATGTAGGGAAACCATGGGAAGTTGGTGTAGTAGCCCCAGTAAGAGAAGATATGGTGGCCCTGCAAGAAAGTCTGTCATCACTGACTCCTATCTGTCTCTCTCTCACCTTCTCTTCATACTCATCAAACATTAATCTTTTTAAAGATTTGGTTTCTAAAATCTCCACTACATGCATGCCTCTTTTTATTCCCACTGACCTAATTCAAACTTCTGTGTTCTCCTTTCCTGAGCTTTTGCAACAGCCTCTGGTCTCTATCCTTCCTGTCTGTCATTTGCTCCCTTCCAGGAGAACACAGGTGTGCTGTCAGAGTTTAGCCCCTGAAACAGACTTGGCTGTGCTCAAGTGCATCAAATTAAGACCAAGCTCCTCTTCCTGATTCACTGCCTCCAGCGTGGTGCCTATGGATGCCACAGCAAGCTCCTGCCCTCCTCTCCTGTCTGATGCTCCCTGTGGGTCACCAAATCACAAATACCCCAGTAGCTGTTTTACAAGCTCCTTCCTCTACCTAGAATGTCTGTCCCTTCCAACTCACCCCTAGAAGTTATATCTTTGAAAATTTATTCCCACTTCCTCCCATTCCAGATGGCCCCCCAATGGGATGAGTTTTTCTTCCTGCCCGTGCTCCAGTGGTACTCACGTGATGTGCTACCCATCCAGTGAAGCTTCTTACTCTTGTGTCCCCACTTCTAAGAGTCTACCTCCTACCTGAATCATTATGCATGAGTCAGGCTTTTTCACTACATTATAGGCTCCAGAGGACTCAGGAGACGTTTCACAGGCATTTCTGTGTTGTGTACAGTGAGTTGCTTGTCCTGTGTGTATAAAGGGCTTAGCAAATGTTTGATTCAGTTGTGAGGTTCAGGGGCTGATTGGATCCCCAAATTATGAATGTTTTTGGGTCACACCCCCAAACCCATTCTGACTGTGATAGTCATCATACATAATCATATTTTATTAAGTGTATTGTATTTGGTTCTAAAATGGAGGTAAATACAAAAAAAATTTTTTTTTTAATTTAAAAATGTTCATTCTAAATGGAACAAGCCTCATGAAGAGAAACAGTAACAATTTTATTGAGAAGCACTGGATTCTCTGTGGAAACAGAAATTCATTCTATTAAGTATTTCTTGGGCCTTAATTATGTATCCAGCACCAGGGATGTCAAAACAAAAGGTCTCTGTCCTGGAGGCACTTAACAGATATCTTCATAAGAGTTTGGAGTTTCCCATCAAGATTTGCAGGAAAATTTACATCTCTTAAACTGGGAAAAACAAAACTGTCATTCCTTTGTTAAAACATTATGTGTCGCCTGGCTTACTCAGAATTAAAAACCACGCAGCCTACCCACAATGCCAAGGAGAGCCAGGCACGGTGTATATGTTGTCAATATATAAGAAAGTATCAAAAGAGAAAACACATTCATTAGGATATTGCTGATTATAGTTTATTTAGGGATTGATTATCACTTATTTTATACATTCTTTATCTCCCACTTTAATAAAACCCTGCAACAATCAGGTTTTTAAATTTTCTTCTCAGTATCATTTTATGCCTTATGCTGGGAAGCAGCAGTGGAGGTGTTAAGCAATAGTAGTAACATTTATAATTTTTATTTTCAAGTAGTAATAAAAATAATATATTTTTAGTTTCTGAACTAGTTTTAGTATATGCCCAACCTTGTACTAGAGGTATGTGGCCTTAATTTATGGCCTCAAGTACCTCACAGAAGTGGTATCTTATGTAAGAGTTGCATTGCTGTAGGGAGAAAAAAAGAATACATTACTAGAGAAAAATGCTTGTGTTGGAAGCTCTGATTTTTTTTCAAGGCTTTTAAAACTGGACATGATAATCCTGAAATATGAGTGCTAACTGGGGAAAACAGAGCATAAATGCTCAGAACACAGTGGATTAGGATAGGGGAAATATAAGAGGCCTTTGATGGAAAATGTAAAATATGAGGAACATATATTCAGAAAGCATGAAGAGTATTTTTCAGATGTCTCTGTATGCATGAATAAGATTTTTGGCTTCAAATTTGACTAAGTTTTGTTTCTTTGTTTTTCCACAATCTTTTCTAAGAATTGCCCTGGTGGAAAATATTCCAGAAGGCCTTAACTATTCAGAAAATGCACCATTTCACTTACCACTTTTCCAAGGCTGGATGAACTTACTCAACATGGCCAAAAAGTCTGTTGACATAGTGTCTTCCCACTGGGATCTCAACCACAGCCATCCATCAGCATGTCAGGTAAGCTGCATCCTGTGTGTGTGTGATGATTTTACTTAGTGCACTTTACTCTCTGTGGTATTGCCTCCACTCCTCAAGTTCAGTGAGTTTGTCCACCTACCCCCATAGTCCACGTGCATCATCACACCTGTATGTACATGCTATTGTTCATCACATTGCTCAGGTCCTACTACAACACCAGGCTCACAAGGGCAACCTCAGGTTCATCTGTGCACCCAGTAAACTCTGCAGCCTCACATATAGCTATCTGCTGGGCACGCCCCACAATTCCGCTTTGCACACCTGCATGTTTGTAGTTCTTGTTCCTTACCTGCTTGCAGAGGCATTTATCTAGTTAATTGGTGTCATGATTTGCCTTCATGACCCATGGAGTTAGATCATGGAGTCAAACTTCCCAGTATGTTTGTATATTCTTGACTCTGTCATAACTGAGGGAATAGGAAAAAGAAATGTACTGACCACAAGAACAACCTTTAGAAAACTGACTCAATGAACTAAATGATTTCTGAATAAAATGTCTTGGAGATAAGAAAAATGATACTAGTCATTGTTAGCACATTCTTCTTTCAATTGGTCTGACCGTGATAGCACTGAGCTGTCCATGCTATTCCAGCCAAATAGATGACCACTGGCCTGAACTTACATGTCCTGCAAGGAGAAACCCAGTTTTGTCTTTTTGTATATAAAATGTGTCAGCATTAAGGTAATAATCATTACCTTATTGGTGCTTTGAGATCTGTTTCATTATACTACTTTAAAACCAAAAGATAGCAGAGAATAGGTGAAAATAAACAAAATACCACAGAGGCCGTGCTAAAGAGAAATGGAGTAAACTTACTGACCGTGCTCTGCACTTTTCCACCTCTGCTATTTGAGCAGGTGTTTCAGGTGTTTATTGCTGCATTTATCATCCCAAAACTAGGTGGTTTTCAAAATAACAATCATAAATTTATTAGTGATTCTGGGCAGGGCTTGGCAGAGAGAGCTCGTCTCTCCTCCACATGGTGTTGGCCTGCGGCTGGAGCTTCCAAGGGACTTCCCCGTATCCAGCATCTTCCCAAGGAGGGCTGGGATACCTGGGGCTGGTTGAATTTCTCTGTGTGTGTGTGTCTCTCATCATTCAGTAAACTAGCTTGAACTCTTTACATGGTGGTTTATCCGAAAAGAGCAAAAGCAGAAACTGTGAGGCCTCTAAAGACAGGGCTCTAGAATCCCAGTTGCATCTACCTCATACTATTGGTCAAAGCAAGTCACAAATCCAAGATGGCAGAAGGAGCATCCATAGGGGAAAGAGGGGACTGTTGGCAGGCATCTTTGGAGATGATGTGCCACAGCGCACTGTGGCCATAGCCACCCACATATCCCTTCCATGTAAAAAACACACTCCTCATCCCCAAACCTTCATCCTAAGGCAGCAAAAGCTCAAAGCCCAAGAGCTCGCCATCTGCATCAGGTCTGGATGAGGCCCCTCATGTCGGCATCTCTGGATTTGGAAACCTGTGAACTACAGGTTTTCCAAACTTGGGGAACAGGGGCTGTCTCCAGACAAGGAGCTAGTTCCGCACCCTGGGAGTGCCTTCCTGACCTGTCCTTCTCAGGAGTGCTCTGCTCCACCCGCTCTGTTCTTTTGTTTCCATAAGAAATAGCCTGTTTGCTTCAGACTTTCTTTCCTAGTTGGCTTCTGGCCAGTAGAAATCTGAGGCCCCAGAGACCTCTTCACATTATAAACCATCCCTATCTTTTTTCGGTCCAGAACAGAATGGTACAACCCCCTTAGAAACTTTATAGGCTTTCTAGGTATCCGATGGTAATCCATTCTATTAGCAAAAAGCCACACCATGAAGAACTTGCAGATGGGTCCTTCTCTTCTTTGGACTATGACTCGGGGTGCTTCAAGACCATGCCCTTAGAACTGTCAGGAGCCCTTCTGCCTGGCTGAGAGGGTCTCTGAGGCTCCCACCACTTTCAGTCTTTCAAAGGTCTCAACAAGGAAATGTACAGCCACAACTTGATCTGATCTTTACCCTAAGGCCATTTCTTACTTTGCTGAATTGAGAGACTGTCCTAGATTCTCTACATTTTCTCAAAATCCTGCATGAAAACCAAACAATTCCTTCTCATCATATACCTCTACAACTTTGGTCATTGGCTTGAAAACTCTCCTTAGCCAGATCCTCAAATCCATGAATCATATTTTCTATCTTCTGCTTTACAGCACAGTAGTGCTGCCAAACATTCTACCACAACTTTCTCAAGGCTCCAAAAGCAAGTTCTTTCCTCTCCTTCCAGCCTTGAGTAGCAGAGGGGGTTCCAGCCTCCATCACCACCTAATTCCAAAGACAATGCTACATACTTTGAGTGTTTGCACAGTAGTTTCTATTTCAGTTTTATATTGTGGCATAACAGTGACTCCAAACTTTCTTAGTATTATTTCCTATGATTCTGTGAGTTGGGTGCATGGTTTTTTTTGCCCCAGTAGTGTTGGCTGGGACCACATGTGCCATGTACTTACCTGGGCAGCAGCTGAGGCTGGACCATGTGAGGGCTGGCCAGGTTTCATTCTCCCCATGTGGACACTCATTGTTCCATAATCCAACCCCAGCTTTTTAGGGCAGCTGGATTTCAAGACAGTGAAAATGAAAATGCAAGGCCTCTTCATGCCTGGGCTTCTAGAACATTACCTTAACCGCATTCTGTTGGGTAAAGCAGGTCCCAGGCCAGCCCATATGCAGGGGAGAGACAGGAGACCCTAGGAGGAGCACGTGCATGTAGGAGTGGGGAAGAATTATTGGCAGCAAATTTAGGAAACAATCTATTATAGCAGGTGTAATGTCGTGAACACGAGATAGTTCAGGTTGTCTTTCCTTAGTCCTAGACAAGACCTGCAATAAATTGAACAGGAGCTGTGAGCCTTGGTTTGACTTGGTGAGCCTTGTGGTGTGCTGGGAACCCAGGTGAGCACAGACACCAGTGCTGTGAGCGCCAGGCTATCGATGGCAGCCTTCCACCTCACAGGCGCCCCTGAGGAGCCAGGTGCATTGAACACATGATGGGAGGATCGACACTGACACCTGGACTTGGTGGCCTGGAGGAACACTCTTTCCTGATATGCTTTGCCTCTGGAATGGTGCATTTTTCTCCCCAACTACAAACTGACCTTAGCTAAGAGGTTTTATTTTCCCCAGTAGCTACTATTTCTCTCTGACTCTGCCCACAATCCTGGTTGGCTTCCAGGATTCCTATGATCAGTGTGGATTTGGAGCTGATTAGGCTTGGAGGGTAGGGTGCCCAGTAAGGTCATTTGCAGGATTCTGGGGGCCCCGGGGGCTGGGGCAGCAGAGCAGGTGCCCAGTAGTTCTGATCTGCTTTGGGAGTGGTGTGCAGTGGTTCCAGGAAGGCAAACGAGGACACTCCATGGCTTTGTGGGTAGAATCTCTAGATGGGTGACTTGGCCTCCTTCAAGTCGATTTGCAGACACTGCCTGAGGACTTGTGGTCTCTCCCTTCTTTTAAACTGAGCTTTCATCCGAGACATTCAGGTGTGAGCTAAGCTCATGCTGCTCCAATTTTGGCCCTGGGACCAGGAACATCTTTATGACCTGAGAGCTTATAAAAAATGCAGGATCTCAGGGCCTGACTCAGAATTTCCATTTCAACAAGATCCCCAGTGATTCACCTCCTCAGAAACATTGAAAAGTGCTGGACTAAATCATTCTGGCATCTTGCTCTGTGAGCCCAGCAAACCTTCTGAGGTGTTCAGACCATCCTGCAGAAGATGGGTGTTAGGGAGTGGCAGCCTCTCGACACTGTGGTTCCTGAAGCCACATCATGGCCGGTGTTCAGTGCTGTTCACAGGCAGGGTGAAAGGACGAGGTTCAGGTCTGGCTTGTAGAGGGGTGCCTGGCACAGTGCTGACGTGCACCAGGTGTTCAGGAAATAATTGTTGCATAGTTGTTGAATGGATTGTGTCAAAGACAAAGGAAGCTGGACCCTGGGTAAAGGGGTAAGGACAGATCTTAATCAGTTACATCCCTTTGCAAAGGGGAGGAGGGCCCAGACAAACTTAACTCAACTTAGATGTGTACAGAGATGACTAGGCATTTTACAGGGAAGAGGAGGGAGCAGGGAGGGGAACTGGTGAGGTTGTGCCCAGTCAGGGAAGTAGAACTTTATGGAAAGTGGGAAGAGGGGATTGGTCCATGTGAAACCATCTGGGTTTGCTAACTGGCTCTGGAGGCCCTGGCTTCGGGGTTGGCTGGAACAAACACTAAGATCTTTGGGCAGCCTTGAGCTTTCTCAAGAGGCACTTTAAGGGGTCAGCCTAGGGACATGGCCCTGAGCTGTTAGAAAAACATGTCTGCTCAAGCGTTTCAAGCAGAGGTGGCAGCAGTGCCTGGTGAAGAAAGCGCGGTGCTGAGAGTCTGTGGATTTTATAGAACAAGGCTGAGGCCTGGTGAAGAACAGGGCTCAGAGAGCCTGGCTAGCATTTGGCTAAGGGGAGACTGCCAGTTGCATGACTTCAGAGTGGATTAAGGTGGAGTTACTGGTGGAAAGGAAGTAACTGAGAAGCTCAGTCAGGGTGCTCTCCAACTGGCCTGTTGCCAAGCTCTTGGCTCCACTGAGCTTGCACAGCAGCCCCTTGGAGGTCACCCAGTTTGAACTGTATCTCCTGTGGAGCCACACTGCTGCTCCAAAGACATAGGTCTGCTGGTGCTCATCCCCTAATGACACCAGGCTCCTTTCGGTTCATAACCAGCCGCCTTCCTGAGGCTATTCACCCTGGCCCTGTGCCAGGGGCTGTCTGCATATGCCAACCAGAGTGACAGGATTTGGCCTGCCTGGAGATTAAGTGGAGTCATGTGGGCTGGGAGACTGACCTCGTAAACAGTCCCCCACACCTGCTTGCTCTTGGCCTTTCCCGTGGGCAACACCAGCATCTGGAAGGAGCTGGTTGGCCCTGGTGGGGGCGGATGTGCCCTCAGCAAGATAGGGAACGTGCTC